GAGGCAGAGCCACCCCCGCAGAGCCCCCACCCCCAGGGAGCCCTGTGCTCAGGTGGGTCCTTTTAAACCCAGAGCAGGAGAAGGGCTCCTGCCCTATAGCCGCCCTATAGCTGCCCTATAGCCTGCAGCCCCCAGAGCATCCCAGGCACCACCGGTAAGTCCTCCCCAGCTCTAGCGCTGGGTGTTCTTGTTCTTAATATTATTGTTCTCTAGGGAATGGTTTCTTTTTTTTGCCTAACCGAGGCTGTGAAAGGGGCCACGAGAGGGTTTTCTCCCTGCAGCTGCTTGCTCCTGCCTCTGCCCAAGCAGCTCAGCTGCTGGCAGCAGGGATTTCCCTGGAAATGTTGCTGGTGAGCGGCTGCTAATTCCCCTTGCTGGCTGTTGAGAAACTCAGTGCGGAGCTTTTGCCTCTCCAGAGGGCTGTGGGCATGGGTAATTATTTAAAATCCCTTGGTCCCAGAGTCAGGGGTTCAGATAGCCCAGCTCACTCCGCTTTAGTGACTCTCCTCCCTGTAGGTAGGTTAGAAAACAGGACAGTGTTGATTCTACAGCTCCAGAAGCAAGGATAGGAAAAAAAAAAACCACCCCTCTTCTCTGTGCTCCTGGCTCTCCTGATACCAGCCGGTACTGGGGTTGTGTGGCTGGCACTGCCGGGGCACACGACTCCACGCAGCCTTGATGCTGCTGATACGAAGCAGTAAATATTCCTCCCTGCAATCTGTGACCAAGTGGGCTCAGACCTCCTCAGGTTTGTACCAGTTCAAAAGTCAGCTTTTCCCAAGCCTGTCCCTGTTGGATTGTACACCTCGAGAGGTCGATGGCCTGATCCTGCTCAGCTGTTAGCGCTGCCGGCATAGCGGTCCATGTCGGAGGCAGCGTTAAGGCAGGGGAACGATGAGCCTGTTGTCGCTGTGCGGAAGGTTTGCTGGCTGCATCAGGCTTCCCCGGGCTGCAAGCCCAGGAGCGAGGAGCTTGGTGAGCTCTTAGGAGTGGAAGAAACGTGTCTGTGTGCTGGTGATGCTTGCACAGGGGCTCGCTTTGAGGGAGGGGTCTTGGGGTAGGACACAGCTCCGACACTGGTTCCCGGGCAGGCTGCAGATCCTGGAGATGTCCAGGCGTGTGTGGGAGCTTTGGGGAACCCATCTTCAACGTGCCTGTGTCCCCCCGACGGGCTGCCCTTGGGGGCTGTGGAAGGGGCAGGAGTTGGAGGGGGGGGGAGGCAGCATCTCCCCGCTGCCTGCCCTGCCCGTGGGCAGCGCGGCGAAGCGTGGGGCCAGCTCAGCAACACGCACGGCCCAGTGGATTTGTTTTGCTGCTGTTGGCTGGGAAGGATCTGGATGCGACGCCGGGGTCTGAGCTTTGAACCTCAGCTGCTGCTGGAGGCAGGGAGAAAACAGAAACCTTTGAAGTCTGGTTGGTGCTGAAAACATTTCGTTACGCGGCGCTAATGAATGGCTGATTCTGGGAATCTGCAATTCCTCAGCCGTGATGGGTGCCTTCGGTTGAGAGGGCATTTCTGGGTAACGCTCCGTCCTGTGGCTCTTAATTGCCCCTGGAAATACAAGCCATTTCTCAACCCACCCTTGCCTTCCCTGACACAGCCGTAGGGTTGTTATTGTAGGGTTGCGTGCAAGGACCAAACCCTCCATGCGCTGCTCTGTTGTTACAGGGCTGGAGCCAGCTCTTTAAAATAAGAAAGGGCTCGCAATGCACCTCGTACATGTGGCTTTTACGTGTCGCTTGGGGAGCTGGAGCTTGAACCCAGCAGGGTTGTTGGCTGGATGTGAGCCGGAGCAGAGAACTACACACATGGCTGTGCCCCCCGCGGCTCCGAGCTGGCGCAGGTAGCTCCAGATCCTGGGGAGCAAGAGGAACAGCAAAGTAAGATCTCGGTGCAATTAGGAATATGACTTGTTTTTACAGGATCTGAGTGGTTTTAATACTGGTTGCTGTATGTTACTTATATCTGGAGGCAGGATCCTGGCTTCGAACGAGCACCCAGGACGTGCAAGGTTTTGCATTTATTTTATTTTTTTTTAAAGGCTTTTGCAGGTTTCTATTTGGCGTGCGCTGCCTGTGCCCGGCCCTGCGATGTCTCAGCTCTCCAGCCGTGGGCTACCAAACAGCTCTGCCCGCTGCTCCAGGCGAGCCCACGGGGAAAGCCAGGGGGATGGAGCTGGGCAAGCACAGAGCTTAGCAGAAGGGCTCCCAAACGAGGTGGTTTAACACTGAGCAGCCCCATTTTGGGACTTTTTGGTCCAAGAATTGGACAGTGCTGCGATCTGCCGGTGGGAAGTGGCACAGGCAGTGCGTGGCCGTGGCTTGGTGCAGGACCAGCCCTCCCCACTCGTGTTCGGATTGGCATTAGGATGGATGTGCAGTGCTGAATGTGCTGCTGGCACAGCCCAGCCTCTGCTTAGGCACCAGTGATGGTTTCCAGCATGGCGAAAGCACCGGGTGGGGTTTATTTGTGCAGCTCCTGTAGAGACCAATTCCTTTATATTGTACTAGAAAAAACACGTCCCTTGGTAATAGTAATGCAAATATTGACTGCTGGCAAAGAACAGGGGCTTGGGGCAGCACGGCAGAGATGGAAAAATCATCGATAGTAATGGAATTGTTGTATGTATCTGCTAGCGTGGGACAGGGATCAATTCCTGCAGATTGCATTAGGATTAGCCAAGCTATCCATCCTACAGAGATGGCTCTCGAGCTGCAGTTATCAAACATCGTTTGCAAATGAACCAGGTCTCCAACCCTTTGGCTCATGGCAGCTGCTTTTCTACTTCTCTTGAAGCTCCGGGCATAGCTCCATGAAAGCACAGGCAACTTTGGCTTCTGAATCGACACAGCAGCTTCAGTGACTCGAAGATAACAAAACTCGTGAGTGCATGGCTGGCTGGAGTTGTCCCAGTCCCCACAATAACAACTTACTCAAGTTTATTTCACTGCCACTTCTTTTCTTTTGCATTTCAAACAATCCTATCTACAGTTACACTGAGCTTGTTTCCCTTATCAAAAAGACTTAACTTTCCTCCTGTCCGTGACGTTCTTGCTTTGATATGGTTTAGCGAACTTGGCTGGCTCCGCAAGCCCAGTTTGTGTGCTTTAAAACAGGGAGACTTTTCCCTTGCATAGCTCTTCCCACTTACCTTGAATTCAGGAATTCCATCTCACCATTTACAAGCTTTAGCTGTAATACAGAAATTAGTCGCGCTCTTTTGCTTCTGCACATCAACCTCAGTGCTCAACACCAGTGAAATCACGCACTGAACAGTTGTACTCGGCTCTTTAGGGGGTGAAATGCTTTTCTAGACGAAGCGGGCTCTGCAGATGTCAGGTCACAGTTCTGTTCCAATCACACCAACTGTCAGTGTTATCAAGGAGACAAGGCTTCTCTTAAATAGACAAGTAGCCAAAGGCTATTTTGTCTCAGTCAACAACATAATGGCTACCAGCAACATCTCATCCGTGCTACACAGAGGCAGGGGTGACACTTGAGCAATGGGGTTATTTTATTGAAATAACATTTGTTCTCATTTACTAACCACCAATTAAACACAAATATTCAGCGTTGCATACTGGCTGTACTAACAAGGCAGGGCTGCAGGTACAGAACTAAGAACACGGGACAACGGTAGCCGTCTTCCGCAAGCTGTTTCTGCATTGCTAGTAAGAGCCTGAAGTCACATGTTTAAAGTGCTGTTAACACCTGACCTTGAGATGACTGGCTTTTTTTGCGTCGGAGTGTTCTAAAGGCTGTCTGACCTCCAGAAAAGACATTTCATTCTACTTAGCACCAAGTCTAACCTTAATTTTACAGTAAGTATAAATACATATATTTAAAACCCATAATGTGAGTAATTTCTGAACATTTACATAGTACAGAGTAAAAAAATTAACAAATGCTAAAAACAGCTTTTCAGTTTCCTCCTATAGAGTCTACCCCCCAAAAAAACCCAGTCAACACTGGAGTGTGTGAATAATCATTTTGTAAAGTATACTAAGTCTGAGAGCACTTGCTGATGTGTAGCTCTGAGCCTGATAAAGTTTAACCAAGTCTTACATCAGACTTGAGAAATCACAGAATCGTTTAGGTTGGAAAGGACCTTTAAGATCAATGTATGTGGGTCCCCAGGTTGCTACCTCACATGACCCAATGGGATCCTAAAAACCTAAGTCTTTGCCTTCTGTAACGGTGTCTGGCGCCTGCTGCAGCTCTTGCTGATGAATGCAAATGCTCACGTGGTGGAAGCTGTCCTCTTCATTGCTCTGCTCTTGTCCAGCAAGATCTTAAGTCTTTCTGAACCGTTTAGTTCAGCCACACCACTGAAGAAAGTGCTGGTCCTCCCTTTGCTGTGATTATTCCCCTTAGTACAAGCGTGACTGTGAAATAAAACGGCTACTCGGGTCATTCCGTGCACTAGTTATTGGTTAAACCACACTAACTAGGATCAAGAGCTTGAGCTTCTAAAGCTGCAGCAGCAGGACAAGCTCCAGCTCTGGATACGTGGATATGTTCCTACAGAGGCTTTCAAACTGCAGAACGGGCTTTACTGGACATCCAGCCTAGCTCATCCTGTGCTTAGGCCTTTTTGACAAGGAAAAGCTGCCTTTCCTAAGGTTTCAGAGCACAAACACCTGTTCAGTAACAGCACAGACAGTAGCATCACTATTTCACGTATTTACAACGTAAGTTAAAATGGTGGGGGTAGGGGATCCAGTACAAATGGGAAGCTGGTGCCATCCAGATAGCTTTAGCATGGCATAGTTGCTAATAAGCTTGGAATAGACAGAGAGACCCTGGTGGGCTACTGACACCTTTCTGTGTAAAGTAGCCTCCTGGAAAATCACTCTTCTCTCTTAAGGAAGTGCAAAGATGAAAGTTCTTCTCTCCCAGTGTTAGACAGTCCTCACTGGCATCAGGCTAGACTCCATTGGCGCCGGCCTTGCTGCTCTGAGATGCTTCCATTTTAGTCTAGGTGAAAAAGAAAGTTGCAGATTTGAGGCAGGACCAATATAAATGCTTCCTGAAATTCAAAATTTTTTTTTGAAAAAGCTATCTTCCCATTTACTATGGGAAGCTGCTCTGTAGAGTAACAGCTGACTAAGAACAAAGTTCTTCAGGGTAAAGGAGCATTCTCCTGTCAATAAAAGTCAGTCTGGACTCCCAAACTTGCCTTAAGCAGGCTTCTAGGTGTAAACATAAGCAGCTAAATTGAAATCATATATTCACACAAAAGAAAATGGGCAAAAGGAAGGCAAGTCACCGTACAAATATTTTCACAATACAAAATGGCACTTAACACTACAGTGGTTCTGACAGAAGGCTGGTCTATCCTAGTGCTCCAAAGCATATTATTAAGGAAGAGTACAAGGAAAGGACATACTGGTAATTCCCCACATGCTCTGCTACCTTCCCCAATTTGACCGCAGTTTCTCAGTCAGATGTGGTATTTTTGTATTTAACAGCCCTCAATGCAGTTCTCGTCCACAATTTCTCCAGTTGCTCCTTGAATTTAACATTCACAGCATCTTGTAGCACAAATTTCCACTTTGTCTGTAAGTTGTGTGAAGAACAATCTCCTTTGGAAAGTCTAAGAATTTAGAAAAGCTTACCTCTTGTGGGGGAGGCTTAACTGACACCTCTGAGACCGGCAATTTCTCTGTTGGCTGAGATACAAATTCTTCCTTCTTTAAGGAAAAAGCACCTTTAAGTCACAAAACCCTCTCAAAAACAAAGCTCTAACTAGACCCTGTACAGTCCCCTCTTGCTTTCTGAATAAGGCTGTTCCCTGCAATGCATATTTGTGAAAGCTGCATGTCTCCATTTCCATCATTTCCCCTACGCAATTTAACAGAGCTATTTGGAAATATTTCTAGCAGTTGACACAATATTCTCCTTTAATTTCTGTTGCTGCTTTTATCAGCTTGGACTAATCTAAGGAATTCACTTCAGCCTTACGCTGAGAACCATATGCTCTGGCTTTTTTGCTCTAGATATTTTGGCTCTTTTTGTCCCAGACAACTCAGCCCAAGTTCACTAGGAGAGCTGAAAACAGGTCACCTTTAACTGGCTTCTCTAAGCTAAATGTACCTGGATTGAAGTCTCTGTATTTATGTGAATAAATAAAAACTTGGAAGCTTCTGAGTGCTCCTCTGGAAGCCAGTAACATGGTATTGAATAACCAGCTGTTTCCAGCAACAGGACAAGATGTCATTGTCTCTTAAGTCAGAGTACACAACAGTGAGGCTCTTGGGCAAAAAAACATGTACACAATGCAAGAATATACATTGCTTATGTGCTCTGTGCAATGGTGTCAAACACTGGGTTTTGTCTAGCTTTGGAAAGGTTTCGTCACATGCTCTTCCCAAAGATTACAGCACTACACACCCATTTTCCTACTTGTAGACTGTTGTTTTCTAACCCTTCTTCCCTGTAAAATTGGGGCAGGATCCACTAAGGTCTCTTGACCTTGAAGAACAGATGTCATGATTTCAGCAGTTTCCCCTGTCTACGGAAGAATATATAGTTCAGCACAGTTATAACTTCAGTCCACTTGGAGGATCAAAGAATAAGATTCATGTCACGCTGCTTCATTTTTATAATGTGTAATGGTTAAACTATTAACCTGAAAGTTTTATTCAAACCACTCACCTTATTTTGTGGAATCGGAACAGATTGGGGCTTTATATCTATTAAGCACAAGGCACGGGAAAGCAGGAGCAGAGAAGGTGGAACATTCTCTTTTAAATGCAGATCCAGCCACTGTTGGAAGAAAACAGAAGCAAAGTTATTTCATATTGGCTCTACATCAGTACTTACTCATATAGCACTCTTTGTCCTTAAAGATCTTAAGGCTGTCTTGAGTTTGGCTAATACAGTTTTAAGTTACCACACTGAGAAGAAATAGTTTCGAGGAGTGAAGAATACCGTATGGAATACACACTAGAGAGGAAGTTTCCAGCTACTAGTGAGGTACCAACATCACTAGTGACAAACAGCCACAGTGAAAGCTGAGTACTTTGAATTATCTACAACTTATCTGAAATACAGCACCTACAGCAGCATCTGTAATCTGTCTGAATGCTTACAAAAGACTAGTGTTGGCTCTACTACAAGTCTTGGCTACTTTAGAAGCTTAAAATATATTCTGTCCCTCACCTCCCCTTTCATCTTGCTTCTAGCTGGCCCTGATGCTACTCGGTTTTCTCTTTAGTCTAAGACAATCTGGATACTTCATGCCTTAAAGCTCAGCTCTGCAAGGGAGGATCCATCTAGAAACACTTGCACAAATTCTTAGTCAAACTGTGCCTGCTCTATCTGAACACTGCACGCCGCTCTGTCCTAGGAGAAACCTTGTCAAACAAGACGAGACCAGAGTGTACTTGCCTGTCTGAGCTGTTCCTTTAGTTGCTCCTCTGAGAGACCCAATGATCGCATTCCTCTGGCTCTGCATGCGCTCTGCAGTTCAGATACACTTAGGCCACTGACTCCTTCCTTGGCAATCATCTGAAATGAAAAGCAATGTTCCTACCTAGGCATAGAATAAGCCAAAACACCCTGATGGACCTGATGAGCTTGAGCCCAAAGAAATGTCTGTTTAGGTAAATGTGCATAAAATCATACCAATACGAAGATGAGACAGAACTGACTTTGTAGATAATTCTTTCTGTCCTGGAAAGTTGACAGTCTTCAGCTACAGAGGATGAGAAACTTTGATCCTGATTATTTTGGTTCCCTGCCTCCCCCCGCCGAGTACTGAGAATTTCACTTTTACATGTGATCCTACAGGTTTGAAGAATCCACTGAGAACCCACTCAGGTGATCCTGACAATTGGCAAGATTGCAAGCTTTAAAGCTGAACCCGTGGTTAGTTGCACGTGCCTTTCAGAACTGGTCACCTCGTACTAGCAAGAGGTTTTCCGGTCTTTCCTCCGTGTCGTAATAGGATTCTTAACACCACTTCAAATTACAGTTCCTACACAAGCACAAAATGGAGGCTGGAAGGGACTTCTGGAGGTCCCCAGTCCAATCTCCTGCTCAAAAGAGGGTTAACTTAACAAGTTTCTTTACATTGCTCAGCCTTTTCCATTTATGCTTTGAGCCTCTCTAGGGATGGGGATTTCACAACATCTAGACAACTGCTTCCATTGTTTACCCACTCACTGATTTTAATTTTTTTCCATATCAAGTTGGAATTTCCCCTGCTGCAACTCATGACCATTACCTGTTGTCCTTTCACTATGCACCTGTAGGTCTGGTTCCGTTTTCCAAATAACCCCATTAGGCAGTTGAAAATAGCAAACAGATTCTCCCTTGGCCTTCTTCAGGCTAAATAAATCCAGTCACTTTATAAGTTAATATAAACTCATACTGAATTCAGTTCGTTAAAATCTGGTGTTTCCATACAATATTTATTCCAGAATTGGAACCTCTTTTTACAAGTTAGTATGACTCCAGAATAAAAATATAAGGGTGTTCTAAACAGTGACAATATCTGCAGTGCCACAGTTGTCAGGGTTCACCAAAGGCAGCAAGGGTGCAGGAAGATGAACTCTCATTCTGTTTTCTTTCTGGAATCTCTCATGGGGAGAATCTGACTCCCATAAATATTAAACTTCACATTGGAGGATGGAGTGTGGGCAGTGACACATGCCTTATGTAAAGCAGGCAGTGATTCAGAGGGCAGAACTTGAGATTGTGAAAAGCATGCATTCCACCAAAGCAGTTACATCTGTGCTATTTTAAACTTACTTCATCATCTGCCTTGATAGTTCTGAGTCTCAGCAGAAGTTGAAAACGAAGCAGATTGTTGGTGCCAATGGGCTGCAACTCAAGCAATTTGCAAAGAGCTACCAACTGTGGCCGTTCCAAGTGTTCCAGGGTCAGTTCATCCTCAAAGAGCTTGGAGAAGCGTACGATCTCCTGGGTACTGGGTTGATGGCCAGTGTGACGAATCTAATGAAAGCAGAGGCATCGGGGCCAAAAAGCCAAATCAAAACTGAACCACAGTTTGTGAATCCTCTTACCCCTCTAAGGAAGAGGCCTTTCCTCTTTCTCACACTGGTATTCCTGTCTCTCTCTGGAAACAGAATGATATAGTTAAAAGGCCAAAGTGAAACAGTGCTCTTGAGCAGCCACTTACAAAGATTTCACAGGGCAAAACTTTCACTGTTGTGCCAGGATGGAAATCCTTGTCTGTACAGACAGCTCTGACAGATGGGGTCAAAAGTTAGTGTCAGTAGAGTATTAGCTGCAAGAAGGTATCCAGTTAACAATAACACTGGACAGGACAGCTCTGTGCTGCCAAACCTCTCTGCAGTCTTTGTACAAATCTCATATTCTCTGCCCAAAACAAGAGGACTAAAGCTGGTGTAAGTACTCTTGCTGTCATCCCCAGCACAGCCCATTTTACCTGGTGCACGTAAGAAGAGAATTGTTTTCCTTGTCCTGTATCTGCTTTGTTCCTCTTGGCCATCTCTGCAATTGTCTCCTGCAGGAACTTTGCTAACTCCAGCTTTGCATTCAATTTCTTTTTCTGCTTTTCTTCCTTCATTTAGGAAATAAAAGATAATTAGAAATTCCACTTGAAAATCAGAAGGGAGGGGATTCTGGGAAAGAGATGACATAAGACTTCAATACTGAAAGCAAATAGGCTTTGGTTACTGTAGAAAATGAAATTGCTGTGCACTTTCCTACTCATCACTGTTTACCGCACAATTTTCAAATTCTGCTGTCCTGTATAGGAATAAGCTAGGAACGTCTCACCCAGACCTGTGTGTGAGGCTGATACTCATTTACAGGAGCAGGCAGGAAACAACAGCTCTTTATGCAGTTGTACAGATGTTCTAATGAGCTGGAACACAGTCTACATCTTCAGAAAGGACACAAACCTTTTTTGACTCTGTCTCAAACGTCGAGGGCAGCATTTCAGGAAAGAGTTTCAAGAATACCGGTAACAGAAATTCCATGAAGGGAACAATGACAAACACCAGGAAGGGAACCAGCCGGAAGAGATCTGCGCAAGTTCTCAGCAACTGTACAGAGAAGAGCACAGCAGAAATTATTATTCAGCTAGACACAAAAAAAACCACATGTTCCAAAGAAGTGTGGAAACAGAGTGGATAAACTTCTTTCATCACAGTAAGCCTCTTAATGCATCATTTCAGCAAGTTGTTCGTATGTCTGGCACTTACCCTTCGTCTTTCCCTTCTAGTGAGGACCTGACCATGTAACAGTCTCCACACCATCCTGGCAGCCACCTTAGTGTCAATCCAAAGCAAGTGGAATCCATTGTAATAATGTTTCACTTCATCCGCAATTTTTTGGCGTAAAGACTTTTTTCCCACAGGACTCTCTATGACTTGTTTTGTCGGAGTTTTAGCAGGCTTCGTACCCTGCTTTACAGTACTTTGGTGGGGCGGAGGTTCATCTCGGAGCTCCTGATGCAAGCACGCAGACGTGTGAAACGTTCGCACAACTTTAGCGGGCGTGTGAGGTAGGCCAGTGCCCAACCGTGTGCAGTGCAGTGATGGCTGGTTTTCAGAGTCTCTTATGCAAGTCCAGTTTAAATGAGAATCCACTAGTTGGACAAAAGCAACTGCTGGAGAGTATGGAGAATTGAAGTGCGCAAGAAGATGGGAACCTCTGAAACTGGAGAGGCATTTAAGCAAGTAATAGTGCATTGTGGCTAACGTACCTAGGCTTTACGCACAAATTAACGTTCTTAGTGCCAAATTCATCTTGTGAATATGATCTTGTGGCTGCCTCAGTATCTGAGATCCCGATCCTTCAGCAATGGATAAAATATTGAGAATTTGTCCCATGCTAACAACTTTTCTCTTGGAGGAGAATAACTAAAGACTTCAGACTGCCTCTAGGAAGCCCTTCTACCTATTGCGTTGACTAAAATCTGGCAGTTGCACACAGAGAAAAACCAAAGCCCCTTCTCCTCTCATCAAGCATTTAGAACGGAGTTCTCTGTATTTCCTGTCCTCTCCCTCCCCCAGCAATGTCAGCTGGAAAAGACAAGCTGCAGACTGAAGAGAGGCAAGCGGGTAAATAGCTTGATCTCTTTTTGTAAAGGAGCTAAGACCTCGCAGACTGCTGTGCAGTATGACAACTGCTGAAATCCCTTAGTTTTAAATAAACCAAACTTTGTTCTTCTTAGGTTTAGCCAGGTAATCTTTTGTAGAAGTTTGTGGAAGTACTCCACAAGTTTAAAGCATTGATACTACACTGAAAGCGTACACTAGCAAATCGGAACAGCACCGGTCACCATAAATAAATCGCTAAAGAAAAGCGTTATCATGCCAGGAAGCTTTCTTGCTCTCTTAGGTGTGATTAGCCTCAGCCTGTTTCATTTCCAATGTAATACAAGGAACAACAGGAATACTATGGCATAGAGCGTCTATAAAAATCAATCCACATCCTACCTCGACCTGGCTATTGCAAGGACCATGTTACAGCTGTAGAAGGCCATGGTGCCACGGAGTCATCGGCTTCGGCTGGACGGGGACAGCGGAGGGACCCTCATCTCCCACAGCAAAGGCGAGCCGTCGGGGAGTGGGCGTCGAGCGCTGCGGCCCTCCGTGCCGCGGGGCCGGGCCCTGGCAGGCC